TGGGAAGCCAAAGGTTCAGAGTCCTGAAGTGAGTGTAAAGAGGAACACACTGTTTCAAGGAAGAATAATCATGTTAACAAGGTTCCAAGTAGGCGTGGTTGGAAGTGAGAGCTCTAGACAAACAAAAAACACCTATTGTATAGAACAAGGAACCATATTCAGTACCTTGTAATAACCTAGAATGGAAAAGAACATGAAAAAGTTTATGTGTATATACATATATATACATGCACACACACTGAATCACTTTGCTGTACATCTGAAATACTGTAAATCATCTAAACTCCATTAAACACACACATACAAGTTAGAGCCCTTATCTGCTGGCTTCTTCATTCTCCCACGGAGTCTGCTACTGTCCCCTGAAATTAAGGCCACATCTGCAAGATGCACTGTTTGTTGTTATTTTTACTTTCTTGCGTTTGTCTTTTGGTGGCATGTGGGATCTTAAAAGGGCTTCCCAGGTGGTTCAGTGGTAAAAGAATCTGCCTGCCAATGCAGGAGACGCCGCTTTGATCCCTGGGTTGGGAAGATCCCCAGGAGGAGGAAATGGCAACCCACTGGAGAATATCCATGGACAGAGAAGCCTGGCGGGTTACAGTCTATGAGGTCACAAAGAGTCGGACATGACTGAGAGCACACACACACACACACACACACACACGCGTACGGGATGTTAGCTCCCCAACCAGGGATCAAACCCTTGCTACTCGGCAATAGAAGCACGGAGTCTTAACCACTGGACTGCCAGTGAAGACCAGCAACACGCACTATCAAACCAACTACAAGTGCAAAGTACATCTCTAAGTACATTCTCTACTTACCTGATGTCCCCTCCTCAATGTACTAAAATCTAGCTTTACTATCAGCATAGGAATTGTCCTCTCTCTGGAATCAATAACTTCCCAAATGTTCTCAACAATTTCCTAACATAAGACCTGCTGGTCTCGTTTCTTCATCAATTTCTGGGACCCCCTCATCCTCTAGCTCTCCAGCATTCCCATCACCCCTTCCCATCCCCAGCGCCTCACTTCCCACCATCTAGTAAGATGTTGATGTTCTCCAGCTTCACGTTTCACCTTCTCTTGGAGTCCTACCTGCTTTTCCTGTTAACCTGACAAAGATGCTAAACTATCAGCAGTGATTCTCTATTCTGTGCCACCCGTCTCTGCCTCTCTATCCTCCCCTAAGCTCTCCACACAGTCTCCAGGCCTTTGCCCAAAGTGCAGTCAGCAGTGACATCACGTGGAACCTGTTAACATTCAAAACCTGACGCTCCACCCACGTCCCTCTGACTCAGCTGAACATCTAAAGAAGGGCTAGTTAGATGCCTCGTATGCCCTGGACATCTCAGCTACGAAGGCAAGTTAGGTTTCCTTCCAGATTTCTACCTGCTGGGAATACTCCATCAAACCTTGCGCATCTTGCAAAATCCTATACAATTGTCGGGGCATCTGGCACAACCACAGTATGCAGCAGGCCATAAATATTTTAATGACTGGACCATTTAATCAGTTAATTAATGCTAAATTCAGCTGAGGACCTGCAGAGTCTCAGGTACTCAAGCGCATGCAAAGTGGAAGGCTGAATGTTGAAGGCAGTTGGAAACAGTGGCCCAGAAATCAAAAGAGAGGTGAGCTGGCAACATTTTGATGTCCCTAGTGACTATTTTGAGAATGCAGTGATGGACAGATGAAGTCATCCAGGTTTCAGATGGAGAAGATGGCTACAGGCCAAATCATGGGGGAGGCTGACATTTAAGGGACGTAGTGAAGAAGGCAGAGAAGGGCAGGGGAACACAGTCGAAAGGAACCAAAACAGGTGTAATGGAGCTGCAAAGAAATGGATGGATTTGGCACTTGATTATTGATACCTTTGACAATTGAGTAGGGGGGTGAGACCAGGAGAGAATAAGAGATGTAACTGATGACAGCTGTACCATATCCTTAAGCCTAGTGGCAAAGAGGCTGAAAGCGTCTGGTCGTTCAACATTTGCTGAATACTTGCTATCTGCTAGGCACCACAAACTAACACTGGGACTGTAACAGTGAACAGCAACACAGATAAGGCCCACGACCCAGTGCAGTGAGATATATTGGGTACTTTTATGGAAACCCCACAACAGATAGGGTAAGGAGCCAATGCTGGGTGGCTTGCCTTGGAGGAAAAGCAACTTTTGCCCTGGTCTAATGGGGACTTTTGGTGGTGGCATAAATACAGGAATGTACTTAAGAGACAGGCATATGGAGGGGATAAAGTTCACATCTAATAATCTTCATTTATTCTTTTAAGTAAAGGAAAATACCCCTGGTAAAGCAAAGCAATAAGTATTCCTGACACATAAACCAACTGAGCCTCACAGAGAACAGGGTCCTGCTGTCACCGAATGGCTAACAAGTAGTCTGGAGACCAGAATCATTGGCCAGGACTTTACTCTCACTCAGACTGATACTCTGAAAAGCAGCAGCATCTCAATTTTTTCACACTGCCATCCCTAGCTGACAACAGTGCTGCTGGGTCATGCGCCATATAAGGTTACACCACCAGTTCAAGCCCTGGATCCTCATGTTCTTAGAGCGTCCAAAAATATTTGACTGAGATTATGAAATTATTAATAAAAGGCTACTAATAAAAGCCTTCAGTACCTGGCATGTGGTCAAACCAACAGCAAGTTCTTAGTAAGTGACAGATAACCAGTGACATTAATTTAGGGTGTCGATCAGAGGTAATCCAAGAGGAAAGTGATAGCACAGTGATGAAAGCAGGGATTCAGGAGGAAATTTATGATCTTGGCAAGTAAAGTTATGCAACCACATTGTGCCTCAGTTTCTCCACTTGTGCAGCTGGGATCATTACAATACACATCCTCCAGGGCTGCCAGGTACATTGGGTAAGTGTATGTAAAGCCTTTGCAACAGTGCCTGGCATTTAATAACTGCAAAATCAAGCCTTACTTTTTACTATTACTGCTACTACTCTATTACTACTGCAACTAACTACTAGTGGAACGGCTTGCTACTCGGAAGGCAATGAAAAGTGTTCCACCAGCAACCAGAGTACACCACAAAACTCTGCAACCCACATAGAGACAGCTCCAGAGGAAGATCTACTCATGGCTCGTTTTTAATGTCAGCCTCCACCTTATGTTGCCAACTGTCAAACAGATTCCAATTGTGTTACCACTCGAACTGAGTTCATGGCAATCAACTTCTCAAGTGTCAAGAAGTATCTGAAGAAATACTCAAAGCCATAAATCAATTACAGTTTTTGAGTTCTTGCTTAAGCAGGAAAACTGAAGTAAAACTAGTTTAGTTGAAGACAATAGTCCTTTAAAGAGATGTACACTACTGTGTGCAGTTTACAAGCAGCAGGACTCTATACCTATCAAAATATCCTGGGTTTAGATTGTGCCTACCAAAGTGAGGCATCCAGAAGAAATGAAATTATCCTCATATGGGGGTTGGGGGGAGGGGATGGAGAATCCTCTATAAAGTTTATATTCCTCCACTTCTCTGCTTTAGATGTAGCCTAAAACATTGTTCTCCTTTTTTTCCACAGAGATCACAATGTTCTCAACTTCTTCGGTTTAGTCCTAGAGCAAAACAAGGTGAAAAACCTATCACCTAAAATGGTTTTACTGATCTTTCATCTTTTCCGGAAGCTTTACTTTGGATATTTCAGCCATGTCGAAATGACAAGCATTAAAAATGTGGAGGTAATGCTATATAGACTCAGATCGAAAATTAGACTTGTTAATAGAATGTTGATCCCATGAGTAATGCTCACAGCTGTGGCATCCAACAATGGAATTAACGTTTCAACAGGAAGCAGAGAGCCATCCCAATACAACGGGCTACTCCGTCCAGCTTCAGAGCGCTTTAAAATTATCCTTCCGGGGCTACACAAAGTGTCTGTCCTAGGGTCCCACCGATGGATGTTTTGTTGTGGGTGGTTTACCGAAATCTTTTGGTTCTACAATGAGACAAGCGCTTACTCTGACATAACAAGATCAGTAGGCTAAAGCACGGACATGGAAACAAATCCGTTTTTTTAAAACTATCAAATGACCACGTCTTTTGTCCACATTATTTTAAAAGCCCTTTCCCCCTCCCTTGACAAAGACTCAGTCGAACATGCACTTGGCGGATCCTGTCGGAATTACCCCGTACAAGTCATCCTATCTTATCATCAACATGAATCAAAACATTATAAACTCAAGGTTACTAATTTCTCCTTTGCACTCGGCCCGGCGACTGCCGAAATCAATACTGCATTTTTTTTCCGGAACCTACTTCCGATTTTCCACGGTTTACTTCGCCGAGTTACCGTCTAGTACAGCTCGAGCTCGCCTTTTCCCAGAGACCGAGAATGCTCAGCCTACAGATTGCTCTGCGCCTCTTTCCTAGAGGTAGCCCGGACGATCAGAGGCGCTGAGCAGCTCACTGTACATTTAATCATGGCGTTTGTAATTCGGTCTCCTGGCTGGGGCAGCTCGGCACCTGAAAAAACCCGCTGATGCCCAAGGCTTTTGAAATCGAGTAACCCTGGACGGACACGGCCCAGCAGCCAACAAGGGAAAGGGCGAGAGCAAATAAAGCAAAGCCTGCACCGGCAGCAAAGAATAGTCCGGGAGAAGCGCCAGGCGCACCCAGAACGCCGCGCCCACTCGCCCGCGCCCCGGGCGCCCCTCCACCGCCGCCGCCCCCTCTTCCCGGGGCTCGGTCCTCCCCCCACTCCACTGCCCGCCTGCCCCCCGCCACCGGGCACCCCACCTCTTCGCCTGGCTCCCCTTCCAGCGACCCCACCTACGCGGCTCGCGCGTCGGGTCCTGCAAAACCACCCCGGCGCAATTCGGCACGCACCGCCGGCCGCGGCGCCCCCAAATCGCCCCCTCCCCCACGCCTCATTGTTCCCGGGTGGCCGCAGGCAGCAAGCGCCCGAGGGCTGGCCAGGCGAGGGGGACCCGAGGGACCGAACCGCGCCCCCCCGCTCCGACTCACCCGCCACTCCGCACAGGAGCGCGAAGCGCAGCAGAAGCGCCATGGTGGCGGCCCGGCCGTGGGAGACGACGGCAGGTAGGCGGCTCTCACCCCGGGGTCTCAGTCTCCCAGCTCCGCGCGCGCTCACGACTGGCTGGCGGCGGCCGCACCTCGCTGCCCGGTCCCACCCCGCCCTCGCTCGGCAGGNTGACTCTTTGTGACCCTATGGACTGTAGCCCACCAGGCTCCTCTGTCCATGGGATTTTCCAGGCAAGAATACTGGAGTGGGGTTGCCATTTCCTTCTCCAGGGGATCTTCCTGACACAGGAATCGAACCCCTGTCTCCCGCAGACTCTTTACAGCCTGAGCCACCAGGGAAGCTTTGCCACTAGCGCCACCTCAATGGAGGAAGCCAGTTGGGCATTCCCCGGGCATTTGCTCCCATAAGGTAGGGTCCTTTGGCTGTTGTACTAGAAGGCTAGAGGCTTTTCTGCGTCTTCAATAATGACGGAACTAATTTGGGAAATTCCCAGATTGGGTTTCCTCCCTTCTATTTAAAGGTTATTCCAGCCCTGAGATTGGCCAACGACCAGTGAGTCTGAAAAGTGGGGATTAGCAGGGATGGCTAAAGGCTTGGGGTTGGGGAAGAGGGTGGTGATTGGGAGACCTGGGAATGAGATCTTGAATCTCCAGACTCTCCCTGTCAGCCCTGCGATGTGGCTTCTGCCTGCAGGGGCTGGCCATCCTTGTTCTTCTGTCATTTTGCTACTTCTCCTTGGTTGGTGTTTGCAGATAATGTTTATTTATAACTGAAAGTGAAAATCTTAGTCACTCAGTCGTGTCTGACTGTGTGACCCCATGGACTGTAGACAGCATGGCTTCTCTGTCCGTGGAATTCTCCAGGAAAGTATATTGGAGTGGATTGCCATTCTCTGCGCCAGGGGATTTTCCCAACCCAGGGATCGAACCTGGGTCTAGTGCACTGCAGGCAGATTTTTACTGTCTGAGACACCAGAAATAACTACAGACAGACTTTGGTGTTCCCAGGAGTTCCTTATTGGGGGTGAATTAGGGGAGAAAAGCAGTGGGTGAGTTCTTGGGCTCTGGAATGGGGCAATAACTGGGCAAGTAACTTAGAAATAGCACCTACCTCATGGGGTTTTTCCTGGTGGCTGGGTTGGTAAAGAATCTTCCTGCAATGTGGGAGACCCAGGTTCAATCCCTGGATCTGGAAGATTCCCTTGGAGAAGGGAATGGCAACCCACTCCAGTGTTCTTGCCTGGAGAATTCCATGGACAGAGGAGCCTGGTGGGCTACAGTCCATGGGGTCATAAAGAGTCAGACGTGACAGAGTGACTAACACTTTCACAGGTAGCTGTGGAAATTAAAGGAGATAATTCACGAAAGAATGCTTGGCACAGTGCCTGACACATAGTAAGTGCTCATCAAAGTGGAAGCTAATAAGAAGTGATGGAAAAGTCTTGTTATTTATCGAACCAGCAAAGAAAGTGAAACAGTTATCAGGGAGGCCAAAATTGCCCCCCCCCTGCAATTTAGGTGGGTGGTTTGTAACCCTGGCTGCACATTAAAATTATTGGAGAACTTTTATAAAATACAAATACCTGAACGCCAAGTCCGGCAATCCTGGCTTAACTTGTCTCCAGTGGAATCTTGGCTGATTTAAGAAGAGTCCAGAGTAACTGCTAGGGACTTCCTATTAGTTGAGGAAAGAAGAATTTTACTGGATGTAACTGAAGGTGATGGTGATAGGTTATCTCTAAGTTGTTTTCCACTCTTGTGACCTCATGGACTGTAGCCTGCCAGGCCCATCTGTCCATGGTATTTCCCAGGCAAGAAGACTGGAGTGGGTTGCCGTTTCCTTCTTCAGAGGATCTTCCCGATCCAGGGATTGATCCCATGTCTCCTACATCGCAGGATTCTTTACCACTGAGACACCAGGAAAGCCCATAATTGAAGGAACTATATAAAATATTTGGAAGTTGAATTTTTATGCACCACATTATACTTTAGCATGCACCCTGGTGGCACAGATGGTAAAGAATTTGCCTGCAATATGGGAGACCCAGTTTCACCCCTGGGTTAGAAAGATCCCCTGCAGAAGGAAACAGCAACCCATTCCAGCAATTGACACTTCACTTCACATTATACTTTATGAAATGAGAAAGAAAATGTGACGTGTTAATCCCTCAGTCATATCTGACTCTTTGCAACGCCATGGACTATAGACCGCCAGGCTCCTCTGTCCATGGGATTCTCCAGGCAAGAATTCTGGGAGTGGGTTACCATGCGCTCCCCCACGGCATCTTCCCAACCCAGGGATCGAACCCACCTCTCTTATGTCTCCTGCATTGGCAGGCAGGTTCTTTGCCACTATACTACCTGGATGAAGGAAGCCAACTGGGCAGCCCCAGGGATGGAAGCTGGATCTCCCCCATCGCAGGCAGATTCTTTACAATCTGAGCCACCCAGGGAAGTATTTAAGTTTCAGACTATTTATGAGGACTCTTCTAGTGAATCACTTCCAAGCAGCACACATTTGTTATAAAAGTTGTTGTTAATACCTTGAGTGTCTCCTTCCATAGTAATCAAACCCACTCTCTGGGGTCATCTCAGTCACTTACTAAAGGAGATCTTTAAAAATTACCTGAAATTATTTTCATCTTAATCTCTTTTATTCTGGTACTTTGTTGTACAATCCTTGCCTTTTGCCTCCTTCTGTGGTAGGCATTTTCATTCCTATCAATCACTTCTCTTTCCTGAATATTCCTAGAAGGCCAAAAGGCACATTACTCATCTTCTTTACTCTGGGGAGCATAGCCCATAGTAGGTTCCCTACGATTTGTTGAATAGATTCATATATTAATTAGTATATTGGCTATATTAATGGAGTATGTAAATATCCATACAGTATCTCACAAATCATTCCATCTTAATATAGCTTTCAGAATGTACTTCTAAAAGGTAAATTTCACTAAATTAATGTTTTCTTCTTTAGATTACTGAGCATAGATTTTTCCAAATGAATCATCTCTAAAGGGCTGACACTAGTGCTAAGGAGGGCTTTCCAGGTGGCATTCATGGTAAAGAACCCACCTCCTGCAGGAGGTATAAGAGAGAGATGAGGTTTAGATCCCCGGGTCAGGAAGATCCCCTGGATTAGTGAATGGCACGCCACTTCAGTACTCTTGCCTGGAAAATCCCATGGACAGAGGAGCCTGGTGGGCTGCAGTTCATGGGTTCACGAAGAGTCGGACACCACTGAGTGACTTCACTTTCACTTCTCACTTTCATGCACTGGAGAAGGAAAGGGCAACCCACTCCAGTGTTCTTACCTGGAGAATCCCAGGGACAGGAGCCTGGTGGGCTGCCGTCTATGGGGTCGCACAGAGTCGGACACGACTGAAGCGACTTAGCAGCGTAGTATCATTAGATACATTGCATCGGGAGTATAATAGTTGGTAGTGTTGCTTCTAACAAAGTTTGAACCAAGGGAGATTTGAGTTATTCCTTATTAGCCAGACAGCACAACTAATTGGGCTTCCTGGGTAGCTCAGCTGGTAAAGAATCTGCCTGCACTGCAGGAAACCCTGGTTCGATTCCTGGGTTGGGAACATCCGCTGGAGAAGGGATAGGCTCCCCACTCCAGTGTTCTTGGGCTTCCCTTGTGGCTCAGCTGGTAAAGAATCCGCCCGCAACGTGAGAGACCTGGGTTCGATCCCTAGGTTGGGAAGATCCTGTGGAGAAGGGAAAGGCTACCCACTCCAGTATTCTGGCCTGGAGAGTTCCATGGACTGTAGAGTCCATGGAGTCGCAAAGAGTTAGACACGACTGAGCGACTTTCAGGTCCCTTTCATGTACGCCTAATTGGAAACTCTCTATCCTAAGCAGAACATAGGGGCAGAAGGAACCTCCTGAGGCCCAAAGAAAAGGAGATAAAGATATGGGCCCTTCATGCCTCATTGGATGTCAGAGAGAACTGGGTTAAGATCTGGAGGAAAGACAGAGGGCAATTGGTGTGGGGTTTAGATTCCCGAAATCAAACAATAATTTCAATCCTTTCGACAACGGAGACCAAAGGAGTTTTCCCTGATAGTCTCCAGGACCCTGAAATTGCAGTGGGGGTACAGAGGGCCTTGCTGTCGGGCTGCAGGGTCTTGCATGAAGCAAGCTCACTGTGCAGGAAGTCGTTCAGCAGTTTCAGAGAATTCAGGGCTGCAGACCCAGGGGGGCGGGTTCTCTGAGCGTATGCAGAGCCCCTTTGGGGTTTGACCACTCCTCAGGTTTTAGGGTGAAACATATTTAGTTTGCTTTTGTTAACTTCTCCATTCACGTTTCCTTAAGAGTCAAAGAAACTCCTGCATATTTCAAAGGATCATAGATGTTGAAAGATAAAGTCTGGCTTACCCTTCTTGCTTGACAAAGAATAACATTTTCCAAAGCTTCACAGTTTGCAAAGCCCTTGACATATGTAACATCTCAATTTTTCCTTGTATGGATTCTGAGTGGCAAATACTATCCGGCAAGAAGGAGAGGCGGGACTTTGAATGCTTCTGATGTGTGTCCCTGCTGCCGTGCCACCACTCTCAAGGTGTGAACTCAGGTGAATTAACTCACCACCACCCCCTCGGCTTCCATACCTAGGTGGTGGGCATATGATGGAAAATGTAAACAGGTGTTATTTGTCCCCACATGAAGCTAATAGTCTCAGGAGGGCAAACGAGTCCTAAATAAGTAAAGAGATGCATACGTATGCACCTATAAGTTGTCAGAGTACTTAAAAAGGCATTAAACAGATTGCTCTGGTGGAGTGTAAGGGAGAAAGGATCTGTTCTGTTAAGGTCTTCCAGCATAGGAAAAAGTGAAAGTGTTAGTCACTCAGTCCTGTGTGCTTAATTGCTCAGTGGTGTCCAACTCTTTGCGACCCCATGGAGACTGTAGCCCATTAAGCTCTTCTGTCCATGGGATTTCCCAGGCAAGAATAACTGGAATGGGTCTCCATTCCATTCTCCAGGGGATCTTCCCAACCCAGGGATCGAACCAGGGTCTCCTGCATTGCAGGCAGATTCTGTCCTATCTGAGCCACCAGGAAAGCCCCCTCCCCCCAGCACAGAGGGCAGTGTTAAACCTGAGACGTGAGGGAGGAAGC